CTACAGGAACTAACTTGGTACAAGAAGACAGCTTAGACCCTCTATGATTTCAGCCCCAACCCAACTAATCAGTATTCCCCATTTTATAGGCCCTGGCCTACCAAACTATCCTTGAAACACTCTAGTCCATGAATTCTGAGGAAGTGGGTTTGAGAATTATCTCCCATCCATCCACTTGCCACTGGCAAGTGATAATCCACTGGCCCTGTGATAAACTCTTTCTTTGCTGCAAAACCTGTTCTCAATGCATTGGCTTTTCTTGGCAGTGAGCAAGAAGAACCCATCAGGCAGTTATAAAAGCAGATACAGGAAACACTAGAAAGGCAGAGAGAGAAAGGAAAATTATGCTGAAAAGTGGAAAAGCTAGTGGTAACAAGGAGAAAGAATACTGGCTGGAGAAGAAGCTAATTCCAAGATGGGGTAAGTAAAGAGGAAGAAGAAAACTAGCATTTATTGAATGTCTACTATATGCCAGTAACTGTCCTAAGATCTTTCAAATATTTTACCTTATTTAATTCTAACAATATTTCTAATAGGAGAGACAAATCTTAGCCCCATTTTATAAAAGCAGACTATGGTATACAAAAAGTTAATGTATACTTGCTCAAGGTCTTGCATCTACTCTACCTACGCATGGTAGTTTTAGGTGAAGGAGCAAAGCCCTTGATTTTTCCACCATACTTCCAATTATTAAACTGGCAAAAGCAGGATATTTCTAAAGGAGAAGGGAGAAAAAAACAATAAAAACTATACTTGAAAAAAAAACAGAATTATTACTTTTCTTACCGTAACAGAGCTACCTCTTTGAAAAAGTATAAAAGAAAAAGCAACCAAAATATGAGTTTTTTAACACTAAAAGTAATTTCTGAATCAGAGAACAGGTAAGATTAGATATGAATCATTGCTTCCAGTCGCATCCCTTGGGTCCACTCTGCACTGACACCTTAGTTAGAATTCTAAACTGCAAACCTGACTATGTCACTTACTCCTCCTCTCTTTACAAACTTTCAATAATTCCCTATCATAAACAGGATTTAAAAAAAAAAAAAAACAGAACCAAAAGGAAAAAGCAACCTAATACAGGTATTGATCGACTTACGACCTATGCAACTTACAACCATTCGACTTTTCGACCACAATCGCTAGCCACAACTGCTCCACGTCTGGCAGCACAAACATTGCCCAGCTGGGCGTGCAACAGTGTGGACCAGCTTCTGGCAGCACTACCATCTCCGCGTGCATATGGCCTACTCAACTTACGACCAAATCGTGTTACGACCAGTCTGTCGGAACCAATCGTGGTCGTAGGTTGAGCACTAGCTGTAAGACTATTAGAAAGCTATCTAATAAGCCTATATTCCTTAACCTAAAAGGAATCATGCTAAGAGATTTTTAAGTTAACTCCTAAAAATAAATGCTTACTTATAATTTACAACACTGCTTAATACTCATTTTAATTCCCCAATTTTCTCACCAGAAAATTGTAAAATAAATAAAATTCCAAATGCCAGTTTAGGAATAACATCAACACCTTGTGGTGAAGACCCTAAAATATCAAATATAACAATGAGTAAAGTTGCTCCTAATTAAATGGCTATTTTCCTGAAAACAAGCCTTAATCCAGAGATTTCCAAGGGTTAAGAAGCAATGGGTCAATTGCTAACCCACATTAAACGTAAATTTGGAAAGAACTGCTAATCTTTCACAACACTGAAATTACCCTAAATTCTTAACTATGGGCCAAAGTATCTGAATAAGATCTTAGGTCACTATCCATCTGAAGGAGCTTTTTTTCTTTCTTTTCTTTTTTCTTTTTTTTTTCTGAGATGGGGTCTCACTCTGTCACCCATGCTGGAGTACGGTGGCACAATCTCAGTTCACTGCAACCTCCACCTCCCAGGTTCAAGTGAGTCTCCTGCCTCAGACTCTTGAGCAGCTGGAACTACAGGCATGTGCCACCACATCTGGTTTATTTTTGTATTTTTAGTAGAGACGAGATTTCACCATGTTGGCCAGGCTGGTCTTGAACTCCTGATCTCAGGTAATCCGCCTGCCTCAGCCTTTCGAAGTGCTGGGATTACAGATGTGAGCCACCATGCCCAGCCTGAAGGAGCTTTTAATACCCTGGTTTTAGGTGCTCCAAAGAGTGCCCATTTTTCTGTGACACTCCCACACAAAAAGTAGAAAGAACAGATGCATCCTAGTGGCCAAACAGCACAGTGAAAGTTAATTAACTAGAATATACTCTCAAAAAACAGAATCAGGGCTGGACGCGGTGGTTCGCACCTGTAATCCCAGCACTTTGGGAGGCCGAGGCGGGCAGATCACTTGAGGTCAGGAGTTTGAGACCAGCCTGGCCAACATGGTGAAACACCGTCTCCATTAAAAATACAAAAATTAGCTGGGTGTCGTGGTGCCTGCCTGTAGTCCCATCTATTCAGGAGGCTGAGACAGGAGAATCACTTGAACTCGGGAGATGAGGGTTGCAGTGAGCTGATGTTGCGCCACTGCACTCCAGATGGGGCAACAGTGCAAGACTCTGTCTCAAAAACAAAAACAAAAAACAGAATCAGGAGACTGGGGTTCTAATCACGACTCCAAACAGCATGCAGAATTTTATAGAGCTAAGTGACATTAAAGAATTTAGATGTGTGTTTGCACATAAAATTACGGATCAAGTAGGAGAAATTTTATAAACCAAGAAAGCATCAGGAAAAGAAAAGATATATATTTTTTAAATGACTCCATCCAATGGCAATGTTAGAGAGGAAACCATGAACTAGAGTTTAATGCAATAGGTATAAAATTAAGTTTCCTAAAAATCACTTCACATATAGCATGGCAAGCACTAAGGAAGAGAGGATCATTTAATAGAGCAGATGATGGGTACTCTTTACTAATGTCTGAGAGAACAATCACCAAAAGTTCCATCTGACTCACCAACTTTGATAAGAACAATTTAAAGTTTCCAGTTCCAGAACAACACCCTGGGTTCAGTAAATTTGGTTGATAAATTACCACTTAATCTGGCTTAGGAAAAGTATATCTGTGTTATTAGCTAGGCATGAATTATATAATACCGATGAGGAGACCACTATTAATAATGCAGTTCAAATTACTGACACACCTGAAGAATCTGAAAAATACCCTAGATATGAATCCCTCAAGAGCCAAATCATTGAAAGATCAATTTTCAATAACTGAGCAATTCATCCAAATTAGCCTGATGACTTTGCATTTATGTAGGGCACTGTATTTACCAAAAAATTTCCTCAGTCATTATGCCATGTGTATCTTATAACCACCAGTTTAGGAAGGTGAGACTATTAAAAGGATCTACAAAAACATGCTTGTCAGGAAACCTTCAAAGCATCCTTCAGCCTGGCTCTTACTTCTGTGTGCCCTCAGATAGATAAAACATTGAATGTCTCTTGGCTATAATCAAGATAAAGGCTATCTATCATCCCTGATGTGGGAAAAACGTTTAAGAGAATAAGACAACAAATGTGAAAATGCTTGAAAATTACACTGCTTCCACTTTTTAGAAGTACCAGAGGTCAAATAAATCAGGATAAATCAAAGATAAAGGCAGGATCAGATTAATCAAAGCATCCTCCATTATACCACACTGCTTCACAAGATCCAACAGTCTTTCTTCAGGTCCCGTTCTACATTATCACAGTGTTTGCTACTCCTTGAAACTATCCTCTTTTAGCAAATATGATGCTACACTATCCCAAATCCTCTTCTTCCTTAGTATTTTTTCTTTTAATCCTACTGTTTTCTCTAATAAGGGCACACAATCTCACATTTAGAACATGTCTTTAAAATAATTGTACCTATACCTCATTTTACTAAGAAAACTGAGATCAAGAAATATTAGCGGCTTACTAACATTTCAAACCATTTCTAGACATTCTTTTTAATACTTAAAACTTAGTGTGTCTCCAACTGAAGAGGCTTTAAAATATGTGTATGTATTGACACCTCCCACTATCTCCACCCTCTAATTTCTGAACCCTGTGTGTTCTCCTACATATCCTAAGCAGTCAAGGTGTAGACATCTCTCAAGCAAGAACCAAAACTCAGAAAAATGTATATGGTTACTTTAGTCAAAATCATGTTCCTTAAAATGAATGGACACAGTCCATGTGACCAAACTCTATATTATCATGTGTAATAAGATTCAGGCTCACAAAGGAAAGGCCAATTTTGTAATGTTTCTAAAATAACCATTTCTCCAAGCATCCTTCTGGATTCTTCCTCAAGTACATATATAGAGGATGTCTAATGGTCCGAAATGTATTATGTGTCATGTAAACATTAAAAATACTGTCAAAATCAAATTTCAATGAACAATCTGTCTGAGTAGGGTGAACATAGGTTGAGTGTCACTGCTAACTTTATTTGGAATTGCATTTATTTTGGTAGCTTGCCCCCTGGAAAAATATCCTATATGATCTATCACATTTGAAATTAAAGCCAAATTTTAAAATCTTTCAAAATTAAACCCAGACATTATGAAAATATAGAGCTGAGGCCTATAAGCCTCTGAGCATTAGATACATGCAAAGCTTTTTTGGCTTGCCAAACATAATTCTTTTAAGACGAAGAACAGGTCAAATCTCAAAGCCATGTTTGGGGCTGCTGAAGGGCTTTCCGAGTGATGCTGTAGCTGTTAAGACTTTGATAAGTTTAACTTTTGCACCTTTGATTGCTGTTCTGTAGGGTACAGAAGACCAGAAAATAGCTAATGTCTGTTTTAAGATCACTGGCTTCCAAATATTCTCTCCCACTGTCCAGAGAAAGGAAATGGTCTTCCAAAGACTTTGTAAAAGAGATAAACTTAAATCACTGTAGCAACAAAATTTATGAGGCTTACACTAAAAAATGCTAAGCTTAAATAACAGCCTCTAAAACTCCCATTAATTTTCTCACATTGAAATGTCACAAATGAGAAAGATTCTTTAGAATTCAAGGCGATCTAAGAAGTTTCTTACCGTAGCAAAGAGAAGACATCATAAGAATTGCGAACACAGTTCTGATCCACCTGCAGAAGAATATTCTTCTGAGTAACTGAATAACCCTGAAAGACATTAATCAACAAATTAATCAAAACCAAACCAAATAAAATCTATGCACAAATTAATCATGTTTGTTTTTTAAAAAATATGACATATTAACAACTGAATAAATCTAAACTTTTAGAGATTGCAAATAGTAAAGTATAGTTGCCATATAACAGAAGTCTAACCTTTCAGGCAAGGGAATTTAAAATCAGTTTTGGTGGGGGGATCTGACAAGAGTGGAGAGGGGGTGCACCCAGCCCAGCCCCGAGTCCTGCAGCCTTCCCTCCCACCACAGTGTGGGCCCAGCGATCACTGCCCCAGCCATGGAGCAAGACAATAGCCCCCAGGCCCTGAGGTGGCAGAGCAGATTTGGAGGTGTCACCCTACACTGCCACCCTTGTGCTGATCAGTCATCCCTAAAGAGAGATGAACACAGATCCTTGACCCACTTTGGTAATATCTCCACAGTGACAGATGACAAGGATCACATCCACAATGAGAGGGCTCCAGATGATGACTGAACAACACCTGGAGCGATGGCAGCATGGAGAGGCGCTTGAGGGAGCTGCTGAGAGCACAGGGGCCCAGGAGACCTGCCCACCTGGGATCACAGACACGGAAGTGGAGTCAGGGCTGGGCACCTTTGGGCCATTACAAGAGCCTGCAGAATCTATCCCCACAACTCAGGAGAGAGGCAGTAAAAAAATGCAGCACAAAGGAACCCTCAACCCTTATACCACCACTGGATTCCCAGAAGCCAGCTCAGCTTGAGAGAAGGAGGTATCCTGGAATCAAGACTGCAGTTTGGGAATGCATGAACACTGGATTTGTTTCTCATGTCTTTACTTTTGGGGAAAATCTCGTTTTAAAAAAAATGGTAAATTTGGGGTTAGGTCAAAAATAAAATAAAATACACTTTTTCTCACAGTTTCCCATGGAAACAATGTTTCACATCATAAATAGTGGTGAACCTCCCAAGGAAGCTCCAGAAGTCATTTTAACATATTATGTGACTCAAAAAGAGTATTAACAATAGTATTTCAACAACGCCTAGCCATCATATGTAATGTTTTTATGGGGGAAAGGGCATTCCAAGTTCTGATTAGGAACACCAGAAACAAATATTTCCACTCTATGGTACAAAAGAGTGAGTATACTTTCTAAAAAGAACTTAGGACAATTCCAGAAGAAGAACAGAATAGGTATCTCTGTCATTTATGAAAGGCAGAGTAGGAGGCTGGTTTGAGTAATGATAAAACTCCAGTCTCCTGCATAACCAGTCAACATGAATTACTCTTTCCCTACTGCAATTCCACTGTCCTGATAAATCGGCTCTGTCTAGGCAGCGGGCAAGGTGAACCAATTGAGCAGTTACACCACTGTGCTCCAGCTTGGGCGACAAAGTAAGACCCTGTCTCTTAAAAAAAAAAAACAAAAGGCAGAGTAAACAGTAGTTTAGAAAAAAAGACTCTGGACCCACCAGGATTCCAATTCAAGCCTTCAATACAACCACTGTATAATCTTAAGCAAGGCACCAGAGTGCTCTTAGTTTGACCTTGGTTTCTTCATCAGTAATATGGAGATGGTAACTGTCTCACAAATTGTGGGAATTAAAAGCTAATATCTGTAAAATGAAAGGTGTGTAATAAGCACCATGTACATGTTTGCTATAATGCTAGTAGAAGCATTAAAAGTTATGTCACTACAGACATTAAAAGGGTATTAGGAGAGTATTATTACCAACTTTATGCTAATAACTGTGACAACTTAATTAGACAGGTTCCTTGAAAAGAAACACAAAGTGCCCAGACGCCCTATGAAACATCTAAATAGCCCCATATCTACTTTTTTAGTGAATAAGCAATTGAAAATCTTCCCACATACACACAAAAAATCCATGTCCAAATGGTCTCACTGATGAATTTCATCAAACATTCAAGAAAGAAATAATATCCACTTTACACAAACTCCTTCAGAAAATGGAAAAGGGAACAATTTACAACTTATAAAACTGGGATCACTGATGCCAAAACTGTTAGATAGAGACAACACACACACACACACACACACACAGAGGAAATTATACAATATCCCTCATGAACAGAAACACAAAAATCCTTAGCAAAATATCAGCAAATTGAACCAGCAATACATTATGAAGATTAAAAAGGACACAGTATTAACCGGATATAGCCTAAGAAAGTCTAGTTAATCTACCTTTTAAAAAACAATCAACTAGACAAATACATGAAACAATTCTTATAAATCTATCTTGATGGGCAAATCATTAAAAAGGTGCAATGTGAAAACAATAACATAAAGGTGGGGGAACACAGCTATACAGAAGCAAAGCTTTTTTATTAAAACTAAGTTGGTATTAATTCAAACTAGGCTGTTATAAATTAAAGAAGCTTGTTCTTTAAAAAGACCCAACTTTGACAAATCTTTTTTTTTTTTTTTTTT